AGCTTTTTCGGACTCAGACTTGAGTTAGAAGAAGAACGGAGCACTTATGGGTTTCTACCGTGTGCCATGATGTTGATCCGTTGTCAAACCTCAAACAGGCGGTTCATTGTCGGTGACTCCTTTGCCTAAACGTCTCTGGAACGCAGCGCATTCAGTACGCCTGCCTTGTCCATACTTTTCCTCCACCAACCACGGCCAATCTGTCGGCTACTTCTTTGTCTTTCACTCCATACTCTACAAAACTTTGATCTGAGTTGGCACTCTATTTCTTGTTCTACATCGTGTATGGTTCTGGTATTCATTCAAAGTACGCTTGATATTTTCTCAAGAGTCTCCATGGAAAAGTAGTTTAGCCATCTGCATTGTGATCTGATAGCATTTGAGTATATGACTTTACGCTTCAGTTTGTAAGTGCAGCTGTTTCAAGGATCTTAAGGAAGTCATCGCTGGATCTATGAACTTTTGTGCTTTGCGAAAGTCTTGGCGATTGAACAGCCACTCTATTGGATACATTTAAGTGCAATGACATGTATCCTTTTGCCTATAGAGATCCTCTTTTCCGGAATTATCTGGGGTAAAAACAAATATCAAAGGAAGGAAATGAACCACCTACATCATTGGTCCCTGTTAGCTCAGACCTGCGGACCCATCTTATTTCTGAAGGTGTGCCACAGACACCATACTTTTTTAAAATATGTTTTTATTAAGATCGCTTGTGTGTGCATGTTTGTACTGTGTTCAAGGAGTAGATTTTTATATTATCTTTCAGTGTCCTTACCTTCCTTCAAGCATCATCACCCCTTGTTTGTTGTACCCCACCAGGACATCACACAAGCGATAAACACCCAGTGACACAAAGTGCAACCATGCGGATGATGATCACCCGTGGTGAAGTCCATAAAACCTCTTTCAACTGTTATGGCCACATTCATGGCCCGGCTATATTCAGGGCCCCCGGCAGAAGCCAGGGTGGGTCTTTGAATAACAAAAAATTGCATCCCACAAGGGGACGACAGTTATATCTCTCCTTACCCTTTGCTTTTTAGCACAATATGTTTCTGTGGGTGGAAACTACCAGACTTGGAGCTCAAATTTTGCACAGAAACACACTTTATGGAATGCAATGTAGTGTAGAAATATTCTGAAAATATGTTTAATGATAATTTCATTAAGCCAAAACAATTAATATGGTTATAAAATAAAATATATACTGTCAAGGAATGTAATACATTTTCAGTGGATGTAATCCATAAATTTAATCTTATAAAACTAAATTTGATTTTTACACTACTGTGCACAATCATTCTCCTGTGGATTATAATGCAATTGGTGCAAACATATTCCCAGAAAATTGTAAGTGATAATTTTAAACAAAATATATATTATAATGATTAGTTGCGTATCCTTTACAGGACGTTGCAGAACCAACCTCAACAGCCCCTTGGCTGTTGTGTGGTTTTTCTAGGCAAATTTATGTCCAGTAGTTTGCCACTGCTTTCTGGACGGTCTGCCTTCTTGATACCACTGTCGAAACCAACGCGAGGCGCATGGCCCGCAGCTGGGATCGAACCCTGCATCCCGGCATTACGAAGCGTTCGCATCGACTTAGCCACAGAGCTGACTATATTACATGTATATATTTTTAATAATATATTGTCAAAGGACTTATCTATAAATGTCTCTCTCCAAAGACTGTGTATGCACGTGATTTGTACCCTCTCAGGACTGCAGATAACATCATGCTGAGATAGACATTATGGATGCCTGAATTATTACTTAATTAGAAGTTGAACAGGTCATCTTGGATCTCCTCTGTTTGTCTGCCATCCGGACAATATTTAATTTCAGGGTAGTAAACCTTCAGTTTTCAGCCCAGAGGGGACAAATCAATCGATTTATTTACGCATACCTGTGTTATGTCTAACAGACATGTCATAACAGATGACTAAAAAAGGTATGCTGAAATCGTATATGTTGCACCAAGATATGCATCTATCATGTGACCCCAAAAAATAATAATCATTAATTTATTGTATAACTGAATGGACCCAGAGGATTGAATAAATCTCTTTACAACATTTGTCTACCTTTTCACACCATAACTAACAAAAGTGTGGGGTGCCCAGTTAACAATATACAATCCTTGAGTCAGTTTGTCAACAGCATAAGCCATTATTTCTATACATGTTATTCAGATGTTATCCTCCCGTGTGGGTTCCAGGGCACTATTATATGGAAAACAAGAATAGACCCACTGCCTACCCAAAAGCATGTTGTAAGAGTCGACTAATTTGTAGCTTCCTTCGAAGTTGGAGTGCATCTGCCTGAGCAGCAAGGAACCAGCAGTCTGCATACAAATGAGTCAGATCTGTTAAACGGATGCACACACAAACACTCAAGACTGCAGTCCAAAAGTGGATGAACAACCAGAACTTTCCGCCAGAGTTTACAGCTGGTGAACATGAAAAAGATGTTATCTACACAATTACTGTGTAATCATATGTATACTGCTTTCAAAAGTGCCACAAACTTATCTTAGTCATGGTATAACCTTGTAGATGAATGTTGTAAAAAGAATAATTTAACCTTGTGCAACAATTAAACTAGACGATAAATTATTTTTGTCTTTTTAGTGGATATCATATGGGTTAAAGAAAAGCTTATGTTTAAAAAAGGTGTTTTTTTTAATACATTTTTTTTTTTTTTTTTTGGTAAATAATGAATAATCCTGAAGTATGTATTAAAATTTATAAATATTGGATTATAAAAAGGGTGGCATTCTAAAATTGAGTTTTTAGTTTTTGTAAATAACATCAAGAATAGAATGACCTACATTGTTATGCCTTGCCCAAGAATAAACAAAAGCTGAATATTCATACCTCAATCGTAGTATACACAAAGGAATTATCTTTGGCATTTGTTTGTTTTTTCAAAGCACTTACTAGCAATTAAAAGCCTAAGAAGATAGTTGAAACACAGGAGAGAGTCAAAAAGCATACGTATTTTACAAAATTTAGAAACACAATGAAAAGGTTTCTGGGGCAGTTGATCGAGTGGTTAGAACACAATGTTGAGAACCACTGATTTAGGTGAAGGAAAGTAATCATTTAATACAAACGTCATAGAGAATTTTATTCTTTCTCTTCCATAAACATGAAAAAATTATATTTTTTTTACTGACTTTGTCACAAAGATCAAAGTGGCATCATAATGAGGTTATTATGATGTCATAATTATGTCACAAATCCAAATGTTATTCACCTCAAAAACTGATGTGTACTTTAATGTAAACAGACTGGGTAAGAAAGCTTTCATGGTTTGGCCACATTCTTGGACCTGCCTAAAGGAACAGCAGAGGGAGCCTTTTCATTAGGGAAAAGCAGGAATCCTCACCTTCTGCCTTTCAGGACTCAAGAGAAACATAGCCTAACATGTAACAGAAGCTAAGCTCTTTAAATACTCGTTTTCCCCATGTGGGTTCCAAGGTCTCATTGTGGGGGGGGGGGGGGGGGGGGGGGGGCTAATGCCCCCAACAAACATGTCATATAAGGCAATAAATTAGGGGTGTTTTCTTAAAATGCAGAGTGTATCTACCTGACAAGCGAGGACCGTCATCTGCATACAAATAAGCCAGATCTGTAAAATGGATGTGCATGCAAAACTCAAGTTTTGAAACAAGGCTAAAGTCCAGAAGTTGATGTACAACCAGAACTTACTGCCTGAGTTTACAACCAGTAAACGTGAAGAAGACTTGTTCATGATTTATTTAAGTGTGCAATGAAACTAGAAGACTTGTTCATGATTTATTTAAGTGTGCAATGAAACAAGAAGACTTGTTCATGATTTATTTAAGTGTGCAATGAAACAAGAAGACTTGTTCATGATTTATTTAAGTGTGCAATGAAACAAGAAGACTTGTTCATGATTTATTTAAGTGTGCAATGAAACAAGAAGACTTGTTCATGATTTATTTTAAGTGTGCAATGAAACAAGAAGACTTGTTCATGATTTATTTAAGTGTGCAATGAAACAAGAAGACTTGTTCATGATTTATTTAAGTGTGCAATGAAACAAGAAGACTTGTTCATGATTTATTTAAGTGTGCAATGAAACAAGAAGACTTGTTCATGATTTATTTAAGTGTGCAATGAAACTAGAAGACTTGTTCATGATTTATTTAAGTGTGCAATGAAACTAGAAGACTTGTTCATGATTTATTTAAGTGTGCAATGAAACAAGAAGACTTGTTCATGATTTATTTAAGTGTGCAATGAAACAAGAAGACTTGTTCATGATTTATTTAAGTGTGCAATGAAACAAGAAGACTTGTTCATGATTTATTTAAGTGTGCAATGAAACAAGAAGACTTGTTCATGATTTATTTAAGTGTGCAATGAAACAAGAAGACTTGTTCATGATTTATTTAACTGTGCATTGAAACAAGAAGACTTGTTGATGATTTATTTAACTGTGCAATGAAACAAGAAGACTTGTTCATGTTTATTAAACTGTGCAGTGAAACAAGAAGACTTGTTTATGATTAAACTGTGCAATGAAACAAGAAGACTTGTTCATGATTTATTTAACTGTGCAATGAAACAAGAAGACTTGTTCATGATTCATTTAACTGAGCAATGAAACAAGAAGACTTTTTCATGATTTATTTAACTGTGCAATGAAACAGCTCTATAGAATGTAGTAGTCTATTCTTTGCTATTCTTTGCTTCCCTTTGCTGTTTGTTTTTTTGTTCACTTAAAACTATAGATTATGTTGTAGTGTGATGTTACTAGATTTTTTTTTAATGTGTCAGGCAACAAAATATGCAATGTTTTGTTTGTAATTTCATTTAACAAAATTATTTTCAGCATAAAATAAAATAAAAAGCAAACATTGTTAGTTCAGAATGAATACAACTTGAATAGTATATACATATTCAAGCAGAGGAAACAGTGTTTTAGAAAAACGGGAAAACTCATGTTATTTAAGAGTTAACCTATTATCAATGGGCATTTTCCAGCAGCTGTTCCATCTCTTCAATATTATCATCTCCCTCTGCCGACTCCACCATCTCCGACTCAAATTCTGATGTGCCCATTGTCATATCTGTTTCTGAAACTGCCTTAAGCTTGTTTCTAGCCTCTTCTAGTTTTCTGTCCTCTATTCGCTTCTGTAGTTCTAGGTACTTCTCCATGTGAGGGAAGAACTTGCTCACAAAGAAGATGTGGATCTGATGAGTCCAGAAGTTGAACTTTCTTGTTTCTTCATTTGCTAGTTGTTGTTCCGATCCTTCTGTTTCTTTACTTGCTTCCTCAAGGTTTGCTGTGAAAATATGCAAAATGTGTGGTGAATATACCGCTAACACAAAATATATGCTTCATGCAAAATTTAACAATTATAAAACAGAATGATATATTTATAACAGAAACAATGTGACTTCTTCTTCTTCTTCTTCTTCTGTTGTCTCACTGATAGATCCTAGCTTCTAGCCCAGTGTCGTGGTTTTCTTGCGCTTCTTGGGTGGCTTGAGTGATGGATTTGTTCATACTGTTGCAGGTTTTCACCACACCATTTATCCATCCCGTTCTTGGTCTTCCTCTAAACTTCCTGCCAGATTCCTATATGTATTCAATATTTCTTGTGTAGTAGCAATCACTAACACCACTGCCGGCATGCTTGGCCTGTTGTGTGGCGGAGCAGGAAAACTATTTGACCTGGTTGTGACTATTATATCAAAGCTATCAGCTATATGCTTTTAACCTGACTATAAAAGAAATTTTGTAGAGAAATTAAATGTGTACATTTTGTATCTCCATTCAATATGACCAGAATCTGAACTGACACACTTTTTTTTAACTTATCTCCAATACATTGAAAAATACCTTGGAATAAGAGCACCCTATTTTTCAAACTAAACTGTTCTGTTCTAACATTGTCAAAATGATTTACTTTGATATGTTTCTAAATACTTTCACTGGCAGAGGAATTATGAGGAGGCTCATTCGCAGTGCAGTTGAAACCTCACCTACTACCACAACAAAAAGATTTTGGAGCAGAAAATGTATGAAGCCAAATCCAAAGTATTGGATGGGTGCTGAAGAATCACAGTACTCCAGTGCTTATTGCTAACTGCACAAGCTATGCCCTCTGAACCTTCTAGGCTTATCATATGGACTGCATCATTTATTCATAAGATCAATGTTTGCAAAGATTCCTGGGATCTTCACTGGAGATGTATGGGTAGTTAGTGTCCTTTGGATATTTTCTCCAGATGATGTCAGTGTGTTGAGAAATTAACAGGCCGATGGACTGGCTGGTTCTGCACAATTTGGTGGTGAATTGATGCCTGATAAGCTGGATGTTGTAAGGATGCTTTGGGAGTGAGTGAACAGTGCAGAGGCAAAAACACATCATCAAGGTCTGAGGAGAAAGCTGCTGTGAGGAGTGACCAGGAGATCTCACCGATGCTCAGCACTCAAGGGAAAGAGATATACAATAAAACTATAACTGTTACCACTGGCACTGGAACTCTGCGCTCGCTGCTGAAGATGGGGATGGAAATGTCCTGAGTGCTATGTAATTGATTCCTCATTTAACATTCAGTTTCAAAAGGAGAACTGAATGGTATTATCAATTAACTATGTTATCACATGACAAGTAATCTTTCAATAAGGTTCTTTTTCAGCAATGACGCCTCGTCTCGTAGTGTGTTTAAGGAGGCATACACCTTATGGTTTGCCAGATCAAACTGTGTGTGTTTTGCTGACTAAGGACACTTTGTATGGCTATGGCATTCACTTGAAGTATCCAGCGTATCTGACTCAGTTTGTGACTGGAATCACTGACATGGGCGGTTGAGCAATTATGGGCCGAGCTCGTTTGCTGTGATGCCATAACAGTAATGACTAACTAACTTTTGACGCCCACAAAAGGAGTCAAGATCAGTTTTGGCTACAGATGTTTGTGCTCTTGACAGGTGTGTTGAGTTGTGGCACAACACCCATACGATTGTCACCATCAATGCATAGCAGCAGTTGGATTTAGGGTGTGCTGATGGCTGATAAGGTCAAACTTGGCACAGAATATTCTTTGCTACTGTAGGCATGGAATTTGGTCATCACTACTTAGGGACACAAAGTCATACAACCAATAGAACTAACATCTCCATGTGGGTTACAAGGTCCGATTTTGGTGTGAAAAACTGACCTCGTGCCCCCCCCCCCCCCCCCCCCCCCCCCCCCCCCCCCCCCCCCCCCCCCCGCAATAAGCATGTCGTAAAAGGCATCTAATTAGGGGCTTGCTGGAACTGAATGTGTTGGGCCAAAAGGTGCAGAAATCACAGCCTGGCTGTGAACCACAATACAATGTGCCAGCTCTCTTTTCAAAGGTGACCACAGAAGAAAAAGTGGGTTTCTGAGGCTCTATTGTAAGGGGGGGGGGGGGGGGGGGGGGGAATGGGAATATCCCACTGACCACTAACAAGTATGTAAAAAAAAAGTCAAATAATAACAGATGTTTCCTTCACAGTTGCCGTGCATCTGTCTTGAGAGGTGAGGGACGAACAGCCTGGATATAAATAAGGCAGGTCAATAAAATGGTGGTGCATGCAATTGTTCTGCAACTAGACTAAAGTCCAGAAGAGGGCGAACAACCATAACTTTTGCCACATTTTACAATCAAGGAAACACGAGAAAGGAAAAAAGAGAAAGGAGGAAGGAAGAAAAGAAGACTTACATTCATCAGCTTCTTCCATTTCATCAGATAATAAAGCTTCAGAGTTCAGTAGCTCAAAGTCAACAGGGGTTTTCATGGGTTTGTCCAGAGATGGCCTGCTGATAGTTGAGGCTACCTGCTGTAGTTCTGGCTGACTTGAATCTGTACAACAGCCAATCATAACATGTAAACATACCGCTGATACAAATTTAGGTATTGTAATTACTGTAAACATAGATTAGCTTTATGTAACTTCATAATCACACATATGTAAAAATATATAATATATGTATATATAAATATACATATATATACATCTATATATGCACTCTCTCTCTCTCTCTCTCCCTCTCTCTCTCTCTCTCTCTCTCTCTCTCTCTCTCTCTCTCTCTCTCTCTCTCTCTCTCTCTCTCTCTCTCTCTCTCTCTCTCTCTCTCTCTTGTAAAAGAATGTAAGCAATATTGAATTTTATAATACTTGTGAAAGAATTGTTTCTGACATTTCAGGCTGTATCTCACATTTCAGTGTGTTTCTCATATTTCAGCTTGTTTCTTCCATTTCAAAGTGTTTTTCACATTTAAATGTGAAAATATGGGGGTGACTGCAGTCAAGCTTATACAAGGAATTCCAGAGAAATTAGACTAAAAATCTCAACAAAATGGGGAAGCAGAAAAATGTGAACAAAACAACACAACGTAATGTTTCGGCCAGGCAGCCTTTTTTCAAACATAAGTGAATGTAGTTCACTTATGTTTGAAAAAAGGCTGCCTGGCCGAAACATTACGTTGTGTTGTTTTGTTCACATTTTTCTGCTTCCCCATTTTGTTGAGTTTTTTAGTCTAATTTCTCTGGAATTTTCACATTTAAGTATATTTCTCAAATTTAAGTATGTTTCTCACATTTCAATATGTTTCTCACATTTAAGTGTGTTTCTCCCATTTCAACGTGTTTCTCCCATTTCAACGTGTTCCTCACATTTCAGTATGTTTCTCACATTTAAGTATTCTTCTCACATTTAAGTATGTTTCTCACATTTCAATATGTTTCTCACATTTAAGTGCGTTTCTCCCATTTCAACGTGTTTCTTACATTTAAGTTTGTTTCTCACATTTAAGTGTGTTTCTCACATTTCAACGTGTTTCTCCAATTTAAGTGTGTTTCTCCCATTTCAACGTGTTTCTTACATTTAAGTTTGTTTCTCACATTTAAGTATGTTTCTCACATTTCAACGTGTTTCTCACATTTAAGTGTTTCTCCCATTTCAGTGTGTTCCTTACAATTCAATGTATTTCTCAAATTTCAGTGTGTTTTTCAAATTTTAGTGTTTCTCAAATTTTAGTGTTTCTCACATCATAGTATGTTCTTCACATTTCAGTGTTTTTGTTTTTTTACATTTCAGTGTATTCCTCATATTTCAGTGTGTTTCTCACATTTCTGTGATTTCCTCACATTTCAGTGTATTTCTCACATTTCAGTGTATTTCTCACATTTCAGTGTATTCCCCACATTTAAGTGTATTCCTCACATTTCAGTGTATTCCTCATATTTCACTGTGATCAAGAAACCTCAGCACTCACAACCCACAAGCCCCACTCTCCATGAGCCCAGATAGTCAGACAGTCCTTTTGTTTCTTGGAGATGGGAGGAAGACATAATTTATCTCATCAAATCAGAATGTACATGACAATCAGAGGTCACACCTGCCTCATAAGAACTGTACCAGAACATTTCTAGAGATTTCTTAGATTCGTTTAATAAGGAATAGGGTGAGCAAGGGAACTCGTCACCTGCAACACTCCAGCAAAAAGTTATTGTTGTCATCTACTCCTGTGCTATGATCTTAAACTAGAAGTTGAGTTTGGCATGCACATCCATTTTACATATCTGGCTTATTTGTATGCAGACTGTTGGTTCCTTGTCTCTCAGGGGAATGCACTCCAACTTCAAAGGAAACATCCCTAATTAGTCAGCTCCTATGACATGCTTGTTACAGAGACAACAAGTCTATTCTAAAAAAAATGGAGCCTCAGAACTCACAGAGGGATATATGGGATTATATTCGCTATGAAAAAGCTACTAATCTGACATCAAACAGATTGAAACAGCCATAGTAGGTGGAAGAAATGTAATAGCCATAGTAGGTGGAAGAAATGTAATAGCTATAGTAGGTGGAAGAAATGTAATAGCCATAGTAGGTGAAAGAAATGTAATAGCCATAGTAGGTGGAAGAAATGTAATAGCCATAGTAGGTGGAAGAAATGTAATAGCCATAGTAGGTGGAAGAAATGTAATAGCTATAGTAGGTGGAAGAAATGTAAAAGCCATAGTAGGTGGAAGAAATGTAATAGCCATTGTAGGTCGAAGAAATGTAATAGCCATAGTAGGTGGAAGAAATGTAACAGCCATAGTAGGTGGAAGAAATGTAATAGCCATAGTAGGTGGAAGAAATGTAACAGCCATAGTAGGTGGAAGAAATGTCATAGCTTTAGTAGGTGGAAGAAATGTAATAGCCATAGTAGGTGGAAGAAATGTAATAGCCATAGTAGGTGGAAGAAATGTAATAGCCATAGTAGGTGAAAGAAATGTAATAGCCATAGTAGGTGGAAGAAATGTAATCAGGAAGTCAAAATAAAGAGGCACATCTTGAGCAAATTCAAGATTCAAGTTCTTGCCTCCATCAAAATTGGAACTCTTTGCTGGCTATTGAAGATAAGGATGGAGCATATCTGGGAATGCCCTGAGCACTGTGATATTGGTTCTTGACTCCACTCAACTCGAATTCAAGTTTGCAGAAACCACCAACAATAACCAGACACATAACCAGTTCCAGAGTATGCACTAGAAGCTACTGGAAGTCACGATGACTTAGGCGTTATGAATGCACTTCATAATGCCATAATATCCACTTTAATTCCAGTTACAGGCAGTTAACAGCAGATCGATGTGCCATGATTTTGATAATTGTATCAAGCGCCAACTATTCAGTAAGCAATGGCAAACTATTGAACATACATTTAAATAGCTAAAGAAATAGCTGGGGCTGCTTCTGCAATTTTTTTAGAGGATAAACAACCAATTTTAACTGGAAGCTGCAGGAACTCAACAGAAATTAATAAAAAGAGAAACCAACTGTGCATTTAATAAACAGTCTTACCAGATAATAAACCTGTGAACAAAAAAAAAATTAACTGCCAAAATCATTACAATAAAAACTGCATTCATTCTCTCAGTCTCAAACAACATTTTATATGTGATGAGCACATTACCTGGAATCTCAACCATCTAGTAATGATTTATCTTATTTTTAACACTGTTTTGCACATATTAATGACAACTGGCTTTCCAAGAGGCCACTTTGGTTGAGCCTTAACTCTGTGAGTCCCAAGAAACGCATCATACGTTCATAGGTTCCTACCTAGAAGCCCCCATGAACGCAAGATGCGCCGATTCTATTACTCTATTTACTACTCCCTGGGCCTGCGATGCTAAACCACCTGCGACTCAAAGAGTTAAACTTCTTGCTTATAATGCATTCATTATGTTTTATTTAGTTATTTCCCTTTATTCTTTTTCTTCTCAATTCATCCTTAAAATAGTGGTTGGCAGATTGTGTTGTGGTTTACAGTTACGACACACTTGTTAGGGGGCAACAGGTCAATTCCCCCCCCCTCCCACCCCCCCTCCCCCCCCCCTCTCAACAAAATGGAGCCACAGTGCCACGTTATTGTAATGTGCTTCCCTGAGTTCAGAAAGTTACTGGGACCATGTATGTCTCATTAGATGACAGCAACAGTAAAAACACACTGAGAAAACCACAAGAAATGGGCAGAACACACTTCTCAAATTAAACGGTTTACTAGCTGTTCCCAGATGCGAACCATCCTCTGCCTACTGTTGCTGAGACATCCTGGATTAGCTTCATCTTAGTCATTTCTGTGCTAGTTTAGAATCATGAATGCCACCGGAATAATTGTGCACGAGGCAAACATTCAGCCCATCAAAATGTCTCATCAATTCAGCTGCCTCAAAATCACACTTTTCCAAATTGTAAACATAATTTAATGTTCACTTTTTTCCCCATAGTGCATTTTAACCATGCAAATCTCACTAGCTAAACAAAATGGCAGGTAACGTCGTCTGCTGAAACAGCAGCGTTACAATTTGGCTAGATTACTGATGAGTTATGCCTGTTTGGATGACATGTTTTGTTTCGTGGATTGTGTTTTTGTCTTGGCCCTAATAAAACTGGTCTCATAATTTAATTGCTAGACAATGTACTTCAGCATAGTTTGATTTTTTTAAAACTATAAATGGTCTTAAAAGTTAACAGTGGTCATTCTATTGCCAGAATGTATGTATTTGTGCATAACCTCATGTGCCAGTTAATGAGATGGAATCAACCAAATATCCTACCTATAGTCTTGGATTGCCTGCTGGGTGGTATGAGAGACGGCCCGCTAGGTTTTAAAGAACTGCGCTTTCTTGAAATGCTTTCCTTAGCATTACTTAGCATCCTTGAAGATGCTCCTTCCATAGATTTTAAGGCTTCTCGTTTAGGAGTACTCCATGACTGAGGAACCATAGAAAAAGAAATACTGACTGAACATGGACAAAAAAGGTCAGCCTATGTTTAGGCAACCACCAACAAAATATATTTTAATCTTTTCACTCTGGACAGTTGCTAATCTGGCATCGCCATCTGTTACAAATCCCCATAAGTGCCAGTAAACCCTCTTGACTGCAGTGACTTGCGCCTCAAAAGCTTAACTAATGATAGTTGTTCTGTTTGCCCCTGTGCAGTGTTTAGGAGGCACTGGATATGATTCTTGGCACCTTTCGATCTTTCCAGATGATAGTGTTATATTGTGCTATGAGGAGGCATGAGACTTACAGCCGATGGCGATGGTGAGTCTGACGAGCAAGACCCGCCTGCGTTAAGGAAAGTCTTCTGCAATTATAGCATGTGATTTCACGACAGTTGTTGTCATCATTTATATTTAGTGTGTTGCTTCTTGGACGCTCAGCTCTATTGCTTTCTGCAACCATTTCTTCCATCATTCTCATTCCCTTATTTATTTGTCCCCCTCCACACAACACGGTCCATTCCCTTCCTGATTTGTCCCCTCCACACAACATGGTCCATTCACTTCCTGTTTTGTCCCCCTCCACACAACACGGTCCATTCCCTTCCTGATTTGTCCCCCCCCCACACACAACACAGTCCATTCCCTTCCTGATTTGTCCCCCCCCCCCCCCCCACACAACACGGTCCATTCCCTTCCTGATTTGTCCCCCTCCACACAACACAGTCCATTCCCTTCCTGATTTGTCCCCCTCCACACAACACAGTCCATTCCCTTCCTGATTTGTCCCCTTCACACAACAGGGTCCATGACCTTTTGTTCCCCCAAATCTACCTTGATACCTATTTCATTCATGTCCCCCTTCTTCTTATTCGAAATCTTCTGCCCATCTGTAATTCACCATAGAGGATGTCCTTAGGGATTCCACCACTTTTTATTATCCAGGTGTGACCCAGCCACCTGAGCCTTCAGAGACTGAGCATTGGGAAAACTGTTGTGATACCTGCTCTATACAAGACCTCAGTGTTTGCAGACATGTTTGCCACTTAATGCCAAGTACTCTTCTTAGGCATTGCATGTGATAGCTATTTTGCTATCCTGGTCATTATATTTATTACAAATAGTAAGGAGGTGGGGGAAACTGTTGTTGTGAAACAAAATGGCTTTTTATGACCATTATATCATAAGTTACCTTGACTTTAGTTACATAGCAATAAGGTCATGGGGTCAAGTAGGAGTCACAATACAATTTTATATTTAGGCCTAAGAGAGTGAAATCTATTTAATTCTGTATTTCTTTCATGTCAGTGTCTGAGGTTTAGGCACTGCAGACTGACTTTCTACCCCACCAGGACATTACACAAGCGATAAACACCCAATGACACAATGTGCCACCATGTGGATGAGGATCACTGTGGAGAGGTCCCAGAAACCGCGTTCAGCCATTAGGCCATATATATGGCCGAGCTATATTGTGACCCCTGGCAAGAGCCAGAGTAGGGCTTTAAATAACGAAAAGTTGTATCCTGACAAGGACAGCAAGATTTATAATTAAGGCATTGCAAAAGCGCTTCATAATGCCAGGGTGCCGAGGAAGCGATCATCACCTTGTAGTTGCTCTACTACGACTCAAACTCAAAAAGTTCACACGCAAGTTAAGACACAGACAGCACGCTACAATGTTAACCTTTTAAGAGAATAAGACAGTGCCACTCAATTTATAGTAGAACTCAAGAATAGATTTTAAACCCTATCAAGTGACCCATACACTCAAATTGCAATCAGCATTCAAGACAGATGGAGCCAGATGAAAGAAACATACAAATCAACTAGCAACAACATATTAGGAACCAGTAAGCAACACCACAGAGAATGGATATGCAGTCAAACCATGGACTATATTGCCAAGCGAAAAAGAATAAAGAGCCTCATAAATCACACTAAATCAGAACGTCAGAAAGACAAACTAATGTTAGAATAAAGCGAACTAAATAAAATGACAAAAAAAAGTGCTAGAGCTGACAAAAGAATATTTATGGAAAATCTAGCAAAAACAGTAGAAAATGCTGCTAAAGCACATGATCTACAAACCCTACACAAAATTACCCAGCAAATTTGCGGAAGCAGAAACAATTATCACAGCATACTCATCAGAGATAACCAAGGCAGACTGCTCACCACAGAACAAAAACAAGACATGCAGTGGATTAAACACTTCTCCGACCTCTTGAACAGACCTGATCCTGAAAATACCCCAGAAATTCAACCAGCCTCTCAGGACATTGACATTATAACTGAACCACCAAGCAAACAAGAAATCCTTAAAGCTATCCACACTTTAAAGAACAACAAAGCACCAGGCAAAGACAAACTGCCAGCAGAACTTCTCAAAGTAGATCCCAACATAACTGCTAGCATTCTAGAACCATTATTCAAGGATATTTGGGAAAAAGAAGTGTTGCCTGATGACTGGACCAAAGGAACAATAGTCCAAATCCCCCAAAAAGGAGACTTAACAGACTGCAATAATTGGAGGGGAATTACCCTACTCTCAGTATCAAGCAAAATATTTTGTAAAATGAGGTTTGAAAAAGGAGTAGATAAATGCCTACTAGTAGAACAAGCATGATTCAGAAAGGGCAGAGGAACAACTGAACACACCTTCGAAATACGCAACATTTTAGAACAATGCAATGAATGGCAGAGAAGTATATATATTAATTTTGTGGACTTTGAGACAGCTTTTGACAGCGTACATAGAGACAGTCTATGGAACATTTTACGACATTATGGAATTCCAGAAAAAATATTCAACATAATTGCTCTCTTCTATAAAGACTTTCCTGCAGTATAAAAAATTACAATACATCTTTCCTAGTAAAGACAGGTGTAAGACAGGGATGTGTTATGTCCTCTCTCCTCTTCAACCTTGTGATTGATTGGATACTAAAGAACACAGTAGACAGAACATTGAGAGGCATACGATGGACTCCATTCACCATGCTTGAGGACCTTGATTTTGCAGATGATATAGCACTCCTATCACTTAAATATGAAAATATACAAGAAAGAAGTAACAGACTACACAGCACAGCAGAAATGGTGGGACTGAGAATAAATACAAAGAAAACTAAGATCATGACAGTCCAAACCAACAACCAGTGATCATAAATAACCAAACTCTTGAAAATGTAGAACATTTTACATATCTTGCTAGTGTGGTGTCCCTGCCGGGAGGGACCGAAGAGGACATACAGTCACGTCTGAACAAAGCTAGAGCTGCTTTTGGAAGGATGAGGCAAATCTGGAAATCCAACAATTACTGCAGAGGAACAAAACTCCAACTCTACAAGAGCATCATTTTGCCAGTTCTTCTTTATGGAGCGGATTGCTGGAGTATGACCAAAAAGGATGCACACAAGCTGTCTACCTTCCACCACACATGTCTACGTAGAATTATCAAAATTTTCTGGCCAGATACAATCTCAAACACTAAACTACTTCAAGTCACAAACCAAGAAACTTTAGACAATATGATAACCAAGAGAAGATGGAAATGGCTTGGCCACGTTATGAGAATGAATCCTGATATACCTGCCAAAACAGCTCTCACATGGACACCAGAGGGAAAGAGAAAACAGGGGCGCCCAAAAACAACATGGAGAAGAACGATGGAAAGTGACCTGAGTGCGGCATCTTTAACATGGAAAACTGCACTGAAGATTGCACAGGACAGGAAAGCATGGAAAGTCCTCTCTGAAGCCTCATGTGCCACTAGGCACAACGAGAACTGATGAGACTGACTGACTGACTTTCTACCCCACCAGGACATTACACAAGCGATAAACACCCAATGACACAATGTGCCACCATGTGGATGAGGATCACTGTGGAGAGGTCCCAGAAACCGCCGCGTTCAGCCATTAGGCCATAAATTATGGCCTAATGGCCGGGCTATATTGCGACTCCTGGCAAGAGCCAGAGTAGGGCTTCAAGTAATGAAAAATTTCATCCTGAAAAGGACAGCAAGATATATGATTGAGGCATTGCAAAAGCACCTAGTAATGCCACGGTGCCGGGTTTGATCCCAGCTACGGGCCTTGTGCCTTGCATTGGTTTCGACAGTGGTATCGAGAAGCCAGCCATTCAAAAAGCAATGGCAAACTGCTAGAGGTAAATTTGCCTAGAAAAACCACAGCAGCCAAAAAATTGCTGGGGTTGGTTCTACAACATCCTGTAAAGGACACACAAGTAACTTTTTAAAACTTTTTTCATATTTATTGATTATTCCCCTTAATTTATTTCCAAAAGAAGCAGAAAGGTTATTTTTTGAGGAGAGAGACCAAACACCCTCAAAAAATATTTTAACATATTTATTACCATCTGCACAATTCTATATCTGCCTTTGTTTAATTAAGCAAGTTCCAACAAAATATTTCAACTAACAAGTAATTTAATTATTATTTTTATTACAGGTAGATTTTTCAAATGTTTAAAAAATCAGGAATCGTATATTTTGCGAGAGGAAAGATACACTAACATTTGACAACAAAAATCATAAAGAAGCAGATGGCATCAGTTTCATTTTTGAACCATATTATTAGCAGAGACAAAACACAGATCATAATGTAATAATTGAAAAGAAGAGAAAATTCTCAAGAGTCTTAACAGCTTTTCAATTTCGCAAAGAAAGATTTTGGCACATGACATAATCCATCGTCAACAGATGCATGGCAGCAAGAAACAGGATTGCCCAAGTAAGACAGAGGCACTTTTGTGACATCATCATCATTCAGCAGGTCCTTTACAGAATTTTTCTCTCGTCATGGCCAGCTGAAAGTCCCTTTCTCTAGCCAATTCTCTGGCCCTATGTATTTTCATAGCCAAAGTATCTTCAAAGTTTTATATCCAACTTCGGGAAGGTCTGCCTCTGTCTTTTTTTCCAGAAACTGTCTCCTCCACCATCCTTCTCTCCAGTTCACTGTGATGTCTTACATGGCCAAAATACTTCAGCCTTCAGGACAGGATGCTGTTTATAAGCCAGTTCTCTTTGATGCTCAGATCATTTGTGACTATGACGATAATACTAATACTTTTTTTTTACTTGCTTTTTTCCATGCATATTGTCGATAGGGGTGGTCATTTTATATAGATATATTTTTTTTAAACAGTGAAAATACTTACACCCTACCTCGATGATGATGAGGACGATGATAATAATGATGGTGTCTGTCTCACACAGACCTGGGTCAAAACAAATGATAAAAATACTAACCACCTTTCTGGTGATGACAATGATGATGATGATGATGATGGCGATTAAAATCATGCTCATTACTGTTCTTATAAAATACTTATCTTGAAACTTCTACAAGGTTCAACAATTAAGTAAAGAGACTGATTTTGTTATGCCCAAGACAAAAAAAATTCCATCTATGAATCAAAGCATAGAATCCAGAGGCAACTATGATCTGACAACTTGTCCTCGCTGCCCAATAGACATGGAGCACACAAAAAAAAGCTAACATTAAATTCTGTTTAAAACTCAGGAAAAGCGCCACTGAGACAGTTGAATTGATGCGACAAGTTTATGGGGATAATTGTTTATCTCATGCACAGATTTTCAGCCGGTACTGAGGATTCAATAGTGGTGTGGAAATAATTACTAATGCAACTAGACCTGAACACCAAATTTCTGTTTGTAACGAGGAACTCATTGCAAAATTCTGGGAACGGATACGTGAAGATTGTTGTTTGACTGTGAGGATGATGGTAGATGAATTTGGTGTTAACTATTCATAAAATGTTAATGGAAGATTTGGGCAAGAAAAAAGTTGTATTCAACACCAAGCCATTTTTTTTTCCTTCTTCATGACAATGCACCAGCTCAAAGGGCGGTAGGTGTACAGGAATTTTTGGGCCAAAAACAGATGTGTGTTCTCAGCCATCCACCCTATTCCCCAGATTTGTCTCCCTGTGACTATTTTCTATTCCCAAAATTAAAGTTGCTATTGAAAGGACACTTCTTTGACAATATGGATGGCATCAAAAGGGCTGTAACATTGATTTAAAGGGCCATAACGATAGAACAACTACAGAGGTCGTTTCAGTGTTTGTTAGATCATGCCACTCGCTGCATCGATGCACAAGAGGCTTACTTTGAATAAAATACAGGTTATACCTTCAACTGTTGATTATTTGAATTTGTATGGAATTAGTCTCATTACTTAATTGACGGACCTTGTATTTCGGCTGAGCGTGAAGAAAGAAAACTCACATCCTCTTTGATTTCGCCCACTACAAACTTGAGAAACATGGCCGTAGATGCAGAAACACCTGAATATAGATCAATTTCTTGAGGAGAAGTGATGTTCACTTGTGAGCCCACCAATTCTTCCTCCGCAATCTAAACAACATCAAAAATGTGTATATATAAATCAAAAACTGGTGATTTTGCAGCAAAGCGTATTGTGTTAATTTCAACTCTGCATCTTGAGGGACTGTCAACTCCGAGAATCCCTGACAGTTTTCTTCTTCTTATACCTTCAGGCATCAATGTGAATATATTTAAAGAAATCAGCAGTCAACTTGAGGTTACTGAAATCACAGCTTATCCTCAAAATGAGGGGGTGTGAGGCACTCATGAAGCAAGTGTTTAGCCGTAATTTTACCCTTTCAACAGTTACAGTCATAAGTATCTCCTATCTTTAGTTTATTGAACAGGTGGTGTTTCAGCCTACTGTATCCTGGGCAGAGTCTAAAGATCACTACTTGTTCTTTTCAGCCAAGTTGGTAGTATGCATCATCCTTCTTGTAGCCTGGATGATCAGAATCCCATTTAGTACTATCTGTATTTTCTTATAAACCTCTTGGTCTCATCATATATTATGTCTATATCAGGCTGGGGTAGTCTTCCACCTTGCTTTGCCAATCTTTCAGCCTCTTCATTTCTAGTTATGCTGCAATGGGATGAAACCCATTGTACTATGACTCTTTTTTTAATTTCTGACTCAGTCCATGGAGTGCTCTAAAGTCTGCTATCTCTGTATTGTTTTTGCTAATCAGTGCAATGACAACTGACTTTATTTCTGTGAAGATAGCTACGTGTTCTTCTCTACTTTTCTTTGACAGAATTATTTTTGCCGCATTTCTAAAGGCCTCTGCCTCTGCTCTAAAATTACTTGAGAATTTTCAGGTTGCAACTGACTGTATTTTCTTTGATCCATTTTTAAGATTCAGGACAATTCCCCTACCTCCATTTTCTGTTGAGTTTTTTACTGATCCATCTGTAAATGAGTAAGTCCAGATTTTACTTGGGTATTGTTCTTCTATGTAGTTTAATGTGATTTTCCTTCTTTCTGTTTCATTCTGAGTGTTCTTTATCTCGATACCAGGAATATCAACTCAAGCAGGTGCTGCTGTCTCCAAGCAGGGAGCCTGTATGTAATGTGGATGGGTTTTGATGTTGATAATTTAGGTACATGATCGTCCCTGATCTTAGTTTTTGCAGTCTTTACAAAGCTTTTTTCGCGCTAGTCTTTTCCTTCCTAGACCATTAAACCTTTAATACATGGGGGTGATCTGTTAGCCTTCTAAATTTTCTCGCATGTTGCTGGGTTCTGCTGTCTCTTCTATCCTCCACTGGTTGCAGACTCGTGATCTTTCATTAAAAGGTACTGTTTTCATAGCCCCAGTTATAATCTGCATTCCTTGATTCTTGATAAAGTTTAGCTTAGCTATTGTTGCCCATGCTGCAATACAATATTCAAGGACTGGCCTTACCTGTCCAGTGTAAAGCTTTTTGAGAACTTTTTCATCAGCTCCTCATGTTGTACCAGAAAGCTTTATCATGACTGCCTTTATTTGCCTTGCTCTTGTTTGAGTTGCAAACATGGCACGTCAATTTTGTCTTCATAAAGGCCTTCAGCTAGAGACATTTCTCATTCTTTTTTAAGACTCTTTCAGTGTACAAATGCAGTGTGCTGAGCGTCTTGAATGTTTGATCAATAGTTTTTAACCGAATGCCCCGTGCCTTGACTCCCCAGCACAGAGTTAGGTGCCCACCAGTAGTGTAGGGTGAACCCCTTCAAGGCAAGGGGCCCAGCACTATCTCTGCCTGGTGGGGCTCCACGAGACTAGCACCATATTGATACTTTTAATCTGTGACATCGTGAAATGTGGGTGTCTCTCTCTTCTTCTGATAATCTGATTGTTTAGGAGGAATATTTTTAATGACTAGAAAGTGACATTTTTTCACAAATTTATTATCTTGTTGGTCAGGCAAAAAAAAGTCTTCCTTTCTTGCCATCTCTATTTTTGCTTAAACTTTATTCAGATTTCAAACTGTGCTAATGTATCATCTCACCATCATCATCAATCAGCAAGTCCTTTACAGAATGATGCTCTCTTCACGGCACGCCTGAAAGTTTCCCTTTCCCTAGCCAGCTCTACAGCCTCAGGCTTTCAATGCCAATGCTTCTTCAATGTCCTGTATCCATCTTTGCGGTGGTCGAACCCTGCCTCGCTTTCCACAAACTGCACCTTCCATCACCGTTTATTTCAAGCCACCATGACGTTTGATGTGGCCAAAATACTTCAACTTTTGAGACAGGATACTGTTTATTATTCAGTTCTCCCTGATGTTCAACTCATTTAGAATTTTGATGTTTTTCCTTTTCTTGATCCATGGTATTCTAAGAATTTTTCTATAAAATTTCAATTTAAAAGCTCCAATCATTTTCCTCGGTGACTGAGTGAGAGTAATGTATAATCTACCGATATGTAATTTAATTGTTCAGGATCAAATTCATGGTGAACGGCTTCAAAACAACATGATTACATGATAGTTTCAAACTGTCCAATTTAACTGCAATCATGCTACAAGTGTCAGCACCTGATGTTTAGGGCTTATGGGATTAGTGGCTATAAATATAATTTGTAACCTTGAAACATTGGTTCGATTCAGCTGCAGGCAGTTTGGCAGCATACTGCTTTGCACTGATGTTGACATTGGTATGGATAGCCGACCATTCAGAGGCAATGGTAATCTAGTAAATGTAAAATTGCCTAATAAAACCAGGAAAAGGGGGGGGGGGGGGGGTTTGAACAAATCCACTGATGCTTTAACACACAGTTCTAAAAGGCAATAAATTCGGGGGGTTTCCTTCTGAAATGTATTCTTTTTGCCTTAGAGGCAAGGAACCAACAAATAAGCCAGGTCTGTTAAAACGGATAAGAACGAAAACTCAAGTTCTGAAATGTGACCAAAGCCCAGAAGTTTACAAACAACTAGGGCTTTCTGTCGGAGTTTACAGTTGGTGAATGCTAAGAAGAAGAAGAATAAGAAAACAAAGAAGACAGTTTTAAGTGTTTCCAAAAAAATCTACTAACCTGAATTGCAGTCTGGGATGGGGATTCTGGGATTGAATGCACACTCTGTTCTCTGGTGGTATCTGAACTGGTGCAGGGAGATGCTGCATCCACGACCACCTTTTCTGTCACATACCTCTCTGCACAGCCAATAAGGGCCTCAAAAAACTCCAGAAATGTCATCTTAAGAAGACCCAAACAAAGACATATTTTTATTTTAAACTGTGACAAAACCTAGAGGTATATTAAAAGTGGGGTGTAGGGGTAGAATGTGCATACATGACTGGCTTTGGTGAGAGGGTCCTTCTGTGAACAGAATCTATGCCAGGTATCTTTCTGCACAACCAATAAATGACCCAACAACAAAACAAATTTAAAAAAAATGTATTTTCCCAAGAACCACAGAAAGAAATAATCTTACTTAAATATGACAAAATCTAGCTTGTGTAAACTTTTCGATATCATGGATGGAATCTAGTTCAGCGCCTTTGAGCTCTCGTGAATATTCATCTCAGGATTTCTCTAGGAGGTCTTTGTTTACTCAGCTAATTTGTTTCCCATGTCAGTGTCTGTTTGGTGATCCTCCATCTGCTTCTCCTCAGGGTGTGCACAATATAATGCCATTATCTGTCTTAAAACTATTCATACCAGCTGCTGCCCAGAACATTTTTCTTATTCTTCACTTTTCTTGAATTCATCCCAAATAACATATATTAACTTCCTCTGCAATTTGCTACTGTATGCACACAACAACATCTTTAGCTTATCTCAAAATCTTTAGTTTATCTCCTACCGTCACTGGCATATGTTAAAACTGAAGAAGAAAAAAACTGCAGGGTGGGAAAAAACACATTAAGTTTGTTTGAAAACTAAATAATTTAGAGTTCCATATTTTGGTCCAAGTTTTCAAAAGCTGATGTTGCCTTGTCAGTGAGTACCGTAATTTCTTTCTTTGTACTGCCAGGGCAATCAAAATTAATACCTAAATACGTAAACTTACCTGTTACTTTAATGCTCTATTCTTCAGTGTGACATTTACAAGAAACACGTATGCAGAAAGCTACTTGTTCATTTATTATTTTTAAAGATCATTTTCATAGAAAGCTTAACAGCTGAGCTATAAATAATAATACAAACAACACCATCGTCATCATTATTATTAAGTGCTTGCTAACTGACATGGATGATCATGCATCGCCACAACTTGAATTGAACCAGTTGGTGTGCTGAAACCCCCCCCCCCCCACCACCTCCCCCCCCCCCCCCCCCCCCCCCCCATGCCACGATAAAAAGGCTGTCAAACATGTACTTGTATTGTCTTCCAATAACTCTCTCTTTCCATAAATCTTTCCACTCGTCACAGCTTGTTCCAATTTCTTTCTCCTCATAACAAGGCCAAGAATGATTGTCCATTTCTGAGGCTTGTGATAACGTGTCTCTTTGCCTCTATAAAACTGAGTAATCCAAAACCAACTTCATCAAAGTATTAAAATCCAAAAACAACTTCATCAAAGTATAAAAATACAGCACCAACTTCATCAAAATATTAAATGACAGATAGAATTGGAGAGTCATAATCCTTGATGCAAGCTTCTGACTAGGCTCCTAGAGAACATCAAGAAAAATAGGTAACCTTGTAGCAAAATGGTCAAACCATTTGCCTCAATCTTTATGGTTCATGGATTCATGACTGTGGCATTCAGACCACAAGTGCCACTATTTGAGGACAGCCCTGGAGGTCATCAACAGAACTATGGAGTTCATGCCTTGCGTGATTCTCCCAGTAGGCAGATAGCCACTCTGCAGAGAGAGCCTGTGCCAGATTGGACAACACCAGCTGAGAGTCATTTGAATTTCTTACCTTTACCTCTTTCAGTACCAGAAGGTTTCACAGGAGATGCCAAAGTGAAGAAATAACCATGATGAAACAGTATGACTGCATTACTTTCCTATTGGCAATACCCACAGTGGCGTTTACACTGGAGAAACCAGATTTCTTTATCTTCTTCAGACTAAATGTTAAATTTAGAAGATAACAATATTCTATGGAGAAAATTAATAGGATACACACCTAATGTTAATTGGGACTGAAAGAGTTCACAGTCTTTAGTAGATAAGAAAGATAAATAGTGAATCTCTCAGCTGTAATAGTCTTTGTTTGTTTTAGTATCCAGAAGCCATGAGTTGTTAACCCTTAGGCTCGGTATTATGGATATCGCAACCTTTCGGCCTTGATTCCATTGTAAATACCGTAAATCTGGGAGAAAATGTGGCTTTCCTGCCTACCCCCGGGAGTGAACCCGGACCACAAGGAGTACGTCACCCGGTCTCCGCGAAATCCGGTTTAGCCAATTCCGCTAGAGATATATATAGTCTTTAGAAGAAGACACAGAAGAAGATGAAGACAATGAAGGAGATAAAAGTGTCATACTTCGAGTTCTAAATTATAACTCCCTTCTCCATCACTGAGTGTGGGATTCACAGAAGCAAGCACTTGTATCACAGCTTCTGGGGTTAAATCCTCATTGATCAGTTCAAGATCCTGGAATGGAAGTGAAATATATTATGTACAAACATGAATGACAAGTGTAGTCATTAATATAAGAGTCAACATTGTTGTATGTGAGACTGGAGAAAAAGAAACAGTGGAAAAGGTAGGGGCAAGAGCTAGAATGAGGGATGAGGGGTAAGGTGCAAGAAAGAATGGCAAAGAAACAGAACAAACAAATAAATGAACCAAAAAACTAGACATGAGACCCACCTCATTTTAAGAGGAAGAGAGGGAGACAGGTGAAAGAAAGAGATGGTGATGATTAGCTTGTGTATGTGTGTGCTGTGTATGCATTCATGCAAGTATGCAGACATACATGTGCACATGTAAACATGCAACTGCATGCGTGTGTTTTGTATGAATAGTTATTTTTGGTCTTCTTCTTCTTCTTCTTAGCATTCATAGGTTGTAAACTAAATTAGAAAGTTCTGGTTTTTCATCCACTTCTAGACTTCAGTCTTGTTTCAGAACTGAAATGTTGTGTGCACATCAGTTTCACAGATCTTATTTGTATGCAGACTGTCGATTCCTCACCTCTCAGGCAGATGCACTCCGACTTTTGAGGAAAAATCCCTAAATAATCACATTTTATGACATGCTTGATAGGAAGGCAGTGGTCAGTTCATTTCTTTCTCCCCAAAACGAGGTTGCAGAACCCAAACAGGGAAAACCTAATATGAATGTCATCTAAAGTTCATTCTAAAGTACGGTGAATTAGAGAAAAGGTAAGACGGACACATAACCAGATTACGACCGGTACTATTAGAATTGGAGCTCTGCGCTGGCTGAGGACAGAGCACACATGGGAATGCTCCGAGTGCTGTGATGTCAATTCTTGACTCAACTCAACTAAACTAATTTAACTGTGAATTATACTTTTTTCTTTTAATTTTAGTATGAAAAACATCATGGTCCTGACATGAGCAATCATTCTTCTCCCTGTATCATGATCATTAACAGAATGCATTGATTCATGTGCTGACATTTCTCCATGCCATGATGAAAGGCTATCAATAAATTTTCTCTCATTATCTAATTCCACCTACACCTCATCAAAACTTTCTGGTTGTCACAATATGTGACAGCAAAGCAGCTACCATTTCTCATTAAAAGCCAGTTTACATTTTAAAAACGACTTTTATCCAAAATGACCCAAGCTCCTAGGTCAACCAAGTCTTAAAGGGCTACCAGGCAGAGTCATGGGAAGTAAAGGCAGTGCTTTCTTGATGTTTACCACATCACCTAGAGTGCCAACTAGTCTATAAAATACAGGTCTAGCCCTATATGCCCAGTATGCATGAAGGCATGGAAAAGGGTTCTTTTCTTTGTTGTTTTTAATTTTACATTTATTTAAAAAAAATTAACATACACACAAACAAAAGCTATATACTGATATAAACAGTTAATACAAAGAAATGAAATTACCCTCAACAGAAACAGGAACTGTCTCATTTTTAAAACAGGCTCTCTAGGAGGATGCTGAAATGGGTGACATTGTTCAATACACATTTCAATAAAGAAAACAAAAACTATACATTACACAATTTATTGCCTGGCGTATTCTGCTGTATTTTGTTAGCCACATACCACAGTAACAATTTAATACAGTGAAGTAAATAAATTAATGCTTTTAACGGATATACACAAATCAGCGAAACCAAGAAGTACAGTTAAATATGCCAAACAATAAACTATACAATCTACTGTTTGTGTCTTTTTCTCATTCATTAATTTTGTTTTAATAAAATGATGATTGGCCAGATGGATGGCTGGTTGGATGGTTGGCACGCTGGCTGGCTGATGCATAACCTCTGAGAGATTTCTTGGGGAGTATTTTTTTTTAAATTAAAATGGTAGCTGGCATACAGTGTTGTGGTTTACAGCTAATCTGTGACACATGTGGTTTTTGGCCCAACACATCCAATCTCAGAAAAATTCTCAGGTAGTTACCTTTTATAACAGTTTTTATTTTTTCTTAAGTCGGGCCCTGGAACCTGTACAGGAAGGTTATGTATTTAAATCCCAATTGAGGCAGAGATGGGGAGAGAGATAGAGAGAGAGAGAGATAGAGGGAGAGGGGGGAGAGGGAGAGAGGGGGAGAGGGAGAGAGAGAGAGGGAGAGAGAGAGGAAATGTGTGTGTGTGCGTGCGTGCATGCACATTGTGTGCTTGCGTGCATGCGTTTGTGAGAAAGAGAGAGAGAGGGAGAGAAAGAGAGAGGGAACGAACGAACGAATGAACGAACAAACTTTATTTTGAAAGGGTTACAAATTGGGCACGCATGCCCGTCTGACATTCGGCCCTTCTAAGCACTCGTTTTCCGGAGAACCAATGCCTGTTATTTAAAATGCATGTTATAGATATAGAATAAAAATATGCATTATAGAATATAATACATATACATACATACATACATACATACATACATACATACATACATACATACATACATACATATATACATCTACATATATACACAAACAGAAAAGACACACACATACATATATGGACATATATGCACACACACATTCCATACATACACATCTACACATGCATGCATGCATACACACACATACAATCACATGTACAGACACCCACAACCACACATTCACACTCACATGTAAACATACATATACACATATACATACACACACCTACATCTTTACACAAATACATGCATACTTGCATGCATACCTACACCCACATACTTATACATCTACAAATGCATACACACATCCACAAACATGCATACATACACACACCCACATACATGCCGACACACATTACATACATACCCACACATGCATGCATAGACACATATACAATCACCCATACAGATACTCACATACATACATACATTCAATCATGTATACATACATTCATACTTGCCTACATTATGTACACACATACACTCATATACAGTCACATATACTTACAACACATATACATAAATACACACACAAACAAACTTAAATATACATTCATATATCCACATGCATGCATACACACACACCCACAATCACACACACCCAGATAATGCATATATATATACACACACTCAAATACTTAAACATGCTTTCAAACATACACACATCCATACATACACTCACATACTTACACACATACATACTTTCGTACTTACCTAAATACACACACACATGCATGCATACATACACACACATACATGCATACATACACCGACATCTTTACACACATACATACATAAACAGACACACATGCATGCATACATACATATACAATCACCCATACAGATACCCACATACATACATCACACGCATCGCACATACTTTCCACATACATAAAATACAAATATATATATATATTATATATATATATAATATATATATATATATATATATATATATATATATATATATATACACTATATATATATATATATATATATAGACACATACTTACAAACCTAAATATACCTTCACATATTCACATACACATATACCCACAATCACACACATGCCCAGATAACACATACATACACACACATCCATAATACATACCCACATACTCACACACATACCAACATTTATAAAAAGACACACACACCATATACCGATACATCTACATATACCTACATACATCCATATTCATGCATAAATACACACACACATACTTACATGGCTACATTTACATACATTCATTCTCATACGTATACAGACAAACCTGATACATACATACATATAAGCACAAATACATACATCTACATGTATACATACATACATACATACATAGACTACATCTACATGTATACATAAAGCAAACATACATCAATACATACATGAACACACATGCATACATGCATGCATACATACACAAACATAAAATGCACACACCTACATACACAGACATTTATGCACACACACATACACACATACATGCATATATACACACACATACACCCACATACTTACACAGCTAAATATGCATACATACATTCACCAATCATGCATACATACACAAATACATGCTTGCATACATACACACACATGCATGCATACATATACAATCACACATACAGACACCCACATACATATATTCACACCTGCATACATATATACATACATACTTGTATAAATAATACACACACACCTACAATCACACGTACACTCATATACAGTCGCACATACACCCACATATATACGCCCACATACTTACAACATACATGCAAACAAACATACATCTACTTACAAACCTAAAAATGCATACATATATCCACATACATCCACACACTAACAATCACACACACACCTACATAATACATATAAGTAAAATAATAATGCATGTAAATTATTAGCTATATCTATGGTGGCATATAATCACTAGTAAGCATGAATTTAAAAAGGGTGCGGTTAAATGAGTACATACTCATATTTTTTAGATCGAGTGGGAGGTGATACCATAAATGAGCAGCAGAATATGACAAACTTGTTTTATATAGATCTATTCTAGGCTTTGGCAAATGCAATAAATGTAGGCGTTTGCTGTTCTTAGGGTTGGTGTGAATTAACCTGAAAAGATAATCTGCAGTGTTCTGGGCTAATATTTTATGAACAAATTTGGCTTTATTAAAAATTAATCGTTTATTAAATGGGAGAATTCTTAGTTGGCTATAGAGATGATTTTTGTCCGCGGGCTTTCTATCTGAGACTAGGTGTAAAGCGCGATTTTGTAGAGAGCACAGTCGTTTTAAGTTGGATTTGGAGCAACCATCCCAAACCGTGGAACAATAGTCAGAGAGAGAGAGGGAGAGAGAGAGAAAATGTGTGTGTGTGTGCGTGCGTGTGTGCCTGCATGTGTGTGTGTGTGCGCACTGTGTGCATGTGTGTGTGTGTGAGAGAGGGGGAGAGAGAGAGAGTTTTGCGTGCACATCCATTTTACAGATCTGAATTAAATGGGTACCAGGACATTTCTTCTTCTTAGCATTCTTCTTAGTTTTAAACTACAGTAGAAAGTTCTGGTTGTTTGTCCCCCTCTGGATTTTCAATCCTGTTTTGTGTGCACATCCATTTGACAGATCTGGCTTACTCGTATGCATGCTGCTGGTTCCTCATCTCCAAGGCATACGCACTAAATCTTTGAAAGAACAGCCCCTAACTAGTGGCCCTTTATGACATGCTTGTTTGGGGCGGTGGGTCTATTATAAAGTTAAAAGCCGAGAGCATCACCTTTATTACACTGAGCTTTACCCCCTATGGGTTGGTCTCTCTCCGCAGAACAGCCAGCAGACAGCGTTGCACAAAGCACAAACTCTGTAGCTCCACTGATCATCAGCATTCATGAACTGAATGACCCATCCGTAAAACAAACTCATGACCTTCAGAGCTTGAGGCAAACAGCTTGATCCCTTCGCCAATAGAGACCCCCCACGTCTAATTTTTTTTTTTTTCCAGAACCAACAAGCAAACCCCAAAGACATTTGACAGAAACAGAAAGCAAAGTCAGTTAGGATTACACTGGTCCTTTCACTCATCGAGTGCTGATCAGTCGTTAAAAAAAATGAAGGTTAGCACCAGATAATAATAATGTGAAAAAACTTTACTTTTACCTTTTAATAATAAGTAATAATCACCCTAGACGCTGCTGCTGCTGTGTAGGCACATATTGGGAAAACCTGTGCACAATATAACTAGAAGACTTTTAAACTGGAACACACAAGGGTAGTGAAATAAAGGTAGACCAAAAAGCACATGGAGAAGGGAATGTAAGAAGGAAGTTAAAAAGAGGGAGAAGACATGAGGTGAGCTGCATGTGACAGCAAATGATAGTATAACTTCATGTGAGCTGGCTGAGGGCCTAATCTTCACTGTGGGATAAGGTAGAAGAAGAAGAAGAAAAGGAAGAAGAAGAATCACCTTTCTTTGTGTGCTGACAGCCTGGTAAACTGCATATGCTTGATCCATATGCACCAGGGCATTTACTGCTCGCCTGGTCTCAGCATAAATGGGACCTATGTGGTGATATACAAACATCCATTATTACACAAATAACGGATCAAACAAAAATATCTCATTTTTCTTCTTCTTCACATTAACTGGCTGTAAACTTTGGTGGAAAGTTCTGACTATTTGTTTAATTCTGAACTAGGTAAAACATCTGTTTTACAGATCTGGATTTTTTTTAACAGACTACTGGTTACCAGCATACCGCGATCGAAACCCACCGCAGGCTGCGTGGATTTTTGTCGTGGTATGGGACGTCGCAGGTCGACCCAGCCTAAAATGGGTACCAGGATGGGCTGTCCTAGGAAAGTAAAGACAGCCGGCGTAATGCTGACCACATTACCCACAAAGTGCTGATGGTCTGTAAAAATATGGGACGCTCTGCCCATATGCCCGATGCACCAAAAGGCGTGAAAAGGGAACTTTACTTTACTTTTACTGGTTACCCACCTCTCAGGCAGATTCTGAAGGACATGTTGATCCTATCTATGCTGGCAAATCCCCCGGTTGGGAACCTATTTCTAAATGACCACAGAGAGGTGTAAACAAGTCTTGACCAGTATCAGCCCTGATCCTGGTGAACCACCATGTGTGGTTCTGTACGTCTGCATCCCATTTTGTTTTGTTTAGATACTGTCCCATTCATTACAAGCCAGGCTATTCCTTGCATTTTCCTCAAAGATCACTCATGAGACTATAGATTACAAAAAAACAGAGATTCAAGATTTAAGTTGTGGTAACAACAATAAAAACCAATCCCAAAAAATCTTCAAGATTTAAGTTGTAGTTAAAATACCAACCCAAAAAAACTTAGTATCTCTCTCTCTCTCTCCTCTCTCTCTCTCTCTCTCTCTCTCTCTCTCTCTCTTCTCTCTCTCTCTCTCTCTGTGTGTGTGTGGTATGTGCATGAGTGTGAGCATGTGTATGTGTGAGAGTGTGTGTGGTGAGTGTGTGTGCACATGTTTGTGTGTGTGTGTATGGGGGAGGGGTGGGTTTGAGTGTGGGCCCGGCAGAACAGTCTGAGAAGAACAGTGTGATGTGTTTACACTAGAATTATTAGTTTCTGTACAATATTTGTGCTATGAGATATACAACCTATGTCTGGTATGTTATGATAAGTTCTTAAAAATCAAATCAAATCCAAACCACAATACTGATAAATCACATGAGCAATAATTTGAATTCATTACTACTTCATCACAATCAAATCTTACTTTCAACTTGGCATGCCCGACACAGAACCTTCTCGCCCATCAAGCGCGAAAAGCAGTAATCAAGCAGGGGTCCTGTCTCTCTGAGAACAACAGAATACATTAATTAACAGCTGTGAGAATATGGAGGAGACACTTTGGTACTGGGTCAGGTGGAGTCCCTGTGTGGGTCCCAAGACCCCACTTTAGGAAAATGAACAACAAACGAACAAACTTTATTTTAAAGGATTAAAGGTTGGGCGCGCAAGCCCATCTAACATTCTATCCTTTTAATATCTCTCCTTTTTTATATAATTTCACTGATTAACTAAGTAAAGGACCCTTTTCCAGGCCTTTCAGGCGTATTGGGTATATAGGGCTAGACCTATATTTTATAGACCAACGGCACAAGATGGGTGATGTGGTCAGCATCACGCCGGCTGCCTTTACTTCCCAGGAATGTACCTGGTACCCACTCAAGTCTGGGTCGACCTGGAAGCAAAGTCATTTTTGAAAAAGGTCCAGCTCGGCCAGAGAGCGAACCTACAACCTTCCGATCCGCATCTAGCCTCTACGCCAAGGCGACTCCCTTTCACTGATTAACAAATAATAAACATTATCAGTAGCAGATATATATTAAATACACGCACTGGAATTTGCTTGAATTACACTACACTTACATTTGTAATCACAGTAAATCATAATAATTGTAATAAATCCAGGGGAAATTTATCTGTGAAACTCTTTTGAGCAGACATGCAATCTGTGATGAGATCATATTCAAAGAGTTTCCGATTGCATGGAAGAGAAAAGAATAGATCCAATGCCCTCTAATATGCATGTCATAAAATGTAATTTGCTAGGAGTGTCACCTTCAAAATCAAAGTGCAAATGCCTGAGAGGTGAGGAACCAACAGTCTGCATGTAAATAACACATTTTGGAACAAGATCAAACTCCAGAAGTGGACAAACAACCAGAATGTTCTTCTCCCCCAGTTTATAGCCGGTGAACGCTAAGAAGAAGAAGGATCAGATGGAAAGCCTCGACACAAAGCTCTGCCTGACAGCTGCAGGTCTTTTTCAGTGCTCAGACATGCTGAATGTCAATGCATCATCATCATCATTATAATTGTCATCATCAATCAGCAAGTCCTTTACAGAATATTGCACTCATCATGGCACACATGAAAGGCTCTTTTTCTCTAGCCGACCCTCCAGCCCTATGTGCTTTCATCAATGTCCTGTATTCATGTTCAAGGATGTTTCCCTCTGCCTTGTTTTCCAAAACTGTACCCTCAGTCACCTTTCGCTCTGAGCTATCTTGATGTTTAATACGGCCAAAATACCTCAGCTTTCAGCACAGGATATAGGATGCTGTTTATAAGCCAATTATTCTTAATGCTCAGTTCATGTAGGATGTCAGTGTTTCTCTTCTTCTTGGTCCATGGTATTCTAAGAATTTTTCTGTAGCGTTTCAGTTCAAAAGCTCCGACTGTTCTTCAGTTAGCCAATGACTCACAGCCATAAGTTGCCAAAGTTGCATGATCTCAAATGTTTGCTTGAACTCACTTGCAGGTGCTGTGCCATAGGTTCATATCATGCTGTTTAGTCTCTGCATTGCTAAGGTGAGCCTTATTCTTACTTCCTTTGGGAACTCAACATTATCATTTACTACTGAGCACAAATATTTAAAATCTGTAAAACTTTTGATCTCTTTCTGTTTCTTAACATACAGTCTTGCAAAACATTCATATTTAACTAAACCATGGATTCTCCTACTTATTTAGCTTATCCAGTCCTTCTGAAAAATACAATTATTCTTCCATACTCAAACTAACACAAAAATGCAGTAATGAAAATAGAAAACAATTAATAGATGAGACATCTAGTATTTAACTGTTATACAAATGAAACAAGCAAGAAAAGTTTTCCCAAATGTTCTTTTCCCTTTTTCTTGTATGCTTCTATTGTCCCCTTATTTTATTTTTTTTAACATAACTCTCTAGTCCTATTGCATTTTTTTTTTAAATATCCAGAAACCATGAGTTCTTAACCCTATGGTTCGGTACTATGGATATCGCAACCCTTCGGCCTCGACTCCATGATAGGTACCGTAAATCTGGGAGAAATGTGGCTTTTCTGTCTACCCCCGGGTGTGAACCCGGACCACAAGGAGTTCATCACCCGGTCACCGCGATGTCAGGTTTAACCAGCTATGCTAGAGAGCCAGGCTAGTCCTATTGCATATGAGGCTGTTACTCAAAAGTCCCTAATTGCTCTTCCCTTTTCTTTGTGTCTTCTACCCCTTTCAAGGTCACTCCAGCATCCTCAGAGTGTGATATTGCTCGCTTTAGCAAACTATACATTGAACCAATCAATCCATTTGTATCTAACAGTACACTGGTTTTAACAATTTTATTAAATTTTTAAAAAAAAATCTAAACATTATCTTACTTTCTTTCATGATAATCTTGACTGTATTCCAGATGTGAGAGGATTATTAAATAGTTGATAAACTGCCTCTGTAAAATCTTTTCATATGGATTATGAAGCTCATAGTGTGATTTCTGGTAATCTGGTGGGAAAAGGAACAAGGTATAAAAATAATGTTAAAATGTACTCACTCTGTAGCATACAGCTGCCTGGGAACATATTAACCGTTTTGGCCTGGGAAGCTGCAAACCCAGCACTTTTGGTAGGTTGCAATTCCCAGAGAGGATCCCTTAACCAGCACTTCTATAGTGACGTGTTTATGAGACACCTAGTTAATGCCACTGGTTATTTTCACGCCTCGGCAAATGTTTAGGAAGTCAGGATAGGAATGTATTTACTAAAAATAACATTTAGGAGTGATTTCCCCTTTAATCAAATGTTTGGTTTTTTTCTAAGAATTGTTTTCAGGTATTATGGGTTCATGACCCTTTTTTAATGTTTTCAGGAGTGAAAAGTTAAGTAAAGAACCCAGTGCCATATCCTGGGTCATATGATATGTTCTTAGTCTCATATTTGATAGACCGACTGGAACTAAATGAATGATGTTATTAGTATATTAGATCTGTCCCCTGTCCTCACAAGAATATTTCTCAATACAAATTTTAAGCTGGGTCAATTTGGGACCTCTTCGTCTTCATTCCCTCTTTTACCACTTCAAGTATCCAGAGAGACATAAGGTTCTGCTTCTTTCCTGTGTCTCATCAGGTGTGTTACTAGATAGTTACATCAACACATAATGAAGCATAAAAACTGAATAAATCCAACTGAACTGTGAATGGTCTCTCTCGATGCATCATGTCTATCTAGTTGCCAGAAGTTCACTGTAGTTACGTGACTTACCAAGGTAACTTCAAATTTACTCTAAATTCTGGGAGTCTAGGCTATGATCTCCAGGCCATCATGTAAACTGCTTCTATTACAATGATCTTCTGTTCAACAGCCTTCACCCCCCCCCCCTTTTTTTTTACTTATCTTTTTTTGCCCTTATCTTCATCTAGGTTTAGACGACAGATCAACATCATGGCACAAGGGTAGTAACCCATAAGTGCTCAGTTCTACTTCTGACTCAAGCTTGAGACCAAAGAATCTCAGCGCAGTGCACAAACTTCGTAGCACCAGCGAGGATCCTGAAATACTCTAGGTAGATTTTTTACTTTTTTTTTGCCCGGACAGCGTCGTAACCTACTTTTTTCAATTTTCAATTGCCAAGAGATTTTTTACATGCACAACAATAAACGCAGGCATCTAATATCAATACCCACAGACCAGGGGAAATTGTTAGAAGTCCATGTGAAAAAATCCTAGCCTTCACCGGGACTTCCAGCACTCGAGGCAGACGCAATGCTTCGAGACCCCCCCCCCCCCCTTTTCCAATATATGAACCTGAAAATACATTTACTATGGACAACCTTATACAATGTTGCTGGCACCTTTCCAGACGATAATGTTCCACTGGGCTATAAGGAGGTATGGGAAATCATAGAGCGGTCTGTCCACCTGTCAGAGCTTCCCTCCTAGACCAGTCGCCAATCAAGGCTAAGGCTTCGTCTGCCCTGCCAATACAATAAGTTTTTCAGGTTGCATTTCCTTGTTCTAGGAGAAACCTTGTACCCCCCCCCCCCCCCCCCACGCACTTCACCACTCAAAGTCACTGGCACAAGTGGAATGTCTGGTTTCACACAACTAGACCCATTCATTTTAAACAGACAAGAAAGTAACTGACTAACAGAGTATGTTGAGAAACGTGAAAACAGGCATGCTTCCTGCAGAGTCACAAGCATCACTTCAGAGGTCCCGGGTAGTTAGCGTCATTTGGATATTTTCTCCAGGTTATGCCGGTGTGTTGAGAAATGAGCAGGCAGATAGACTGGCTTAATGGTGAACTGATGTATGACAAGCTAGAGGTTGTTGAGGGCACTTTGGGAGTGCGTGAACAGTGCAGAGGCACAAACAGATCATTACAGTCTAAGGAGAATGGCACTGCAGGAAGTTACCAGAGGATCTTGCTGACGGAGAACACTTAAGGGAAAGGTGAAACAGATGTACAATCAGACAGCTACTGGTATGATCAGTAATGGAGCTCTTCCCTTGCTGCTGAAAATGGGGACGGAGCCATTATGGGAGTGTCCTAAGTGCTATGATATCGATTCTTAATTCAACATGCAACAAACAAGAAAACAAGAACTGCAACAATCTCACATACTAGCTCCTATCACCCTGTCCATCTCAGTCAGTGTGTGGCAGCCATGGTGCATGTGGATATCTTTGAGAAACACCCAAAACTGCATCTTGCTCAAGACGAAGGTGTTGTCAGGACTCTCCTGGTAGCCTAGAGAGCTGTAGAAAGCATAGATCCTGTGTAGTGCACTCACATAACGAGTCACTGCAAACAGCACCTGGCAAATTGAAAAGATGTGTGAAAGAAAGAAAGACTTGCATTCACAGTAGATGGAAGACTGGATAAAGAAATTAACATCTGCTGCATTAGGCAACCCCCCCCCCCCCCCCCTTTTTTTTTTGTCCCCACAAATCCCGACAACATAAGTCAGTCACAATCAGCACAAAAAGCATACTCATCCCCACCCTATGCTGCCAGTGCCAGACATGGTTCTCACAGCAAACCAGAAAAGAAAATGTAATAACCATGCAAATGACATGTCTGAGAAAGGCTGCCGGAGTGACCAGAAGAGATAAGAAATAATGAAATCATAGAGGAAATATTGGCATAGACCCAATACAAACTACATATTTTTTTTTGGTTAAACAGCAAATAAAATGGTTTGCCCACTTAGAATGCCATCAGACGCCATATCATACAAAGCATATACCAAAAGAGGAGAGGGATTCGAGCATAAGGTAGACCAAGAACAAAATACAAAAAGATAACATCAGATAAAATTTACAACGAATCCAACAATCTGAGGCAGCCTTAAAGCAAGAACCAGAACCCTATATATATCCTGAAACTGTAAAAGAGAAAGTTGAGAAGAAGATTCTTTCTTAAACAACAAAATAGAATCACAACAAACACAATAAACTCTCTTCTGTGAAGATATGAATGCTGGATGATGAGTAATAAAACTGTGAAGAAAAAACTGTGATGTTTAAGATCTGTAATGCAACTGAGCAGGTGAGTGTGTTATTTATATGTGATTTTATTTTGATTTTTCTGCCACTTCCACAATGGAGACTGACTATAGCAGATATGTGCGTCACTGCTGGCTTTCAGAATATTATGTGATAATGCCTCAGTCTCTTATTATAAGTATTACTAGCAAGAGTGCTGTAAAAAGCTATAAACTGCTGCAGAAAGTCCTGGTTGTTTGTCAATTTCTGGACTTTGGCATTGTTTTAGTACTTGAGTGTTGCATCACATCTGTTTTACAGATCTGCCTTATTTGTTAGCAGACTACTGGTTCCTGCAATCTGAATTCAATGGAAATGTTGATCCTATTCATACTGGCCTGGTCCCCGGTAGGGAATTTGTTTCTATCTAGGATAACCATAGTGAGCCAGAGACAGGTCTTGACCAGTATGAGCCCTGGTCCTGTGTGCAACACCACATGAGGTTCAGCATCTCCTCATTTCAGCATAACAAACATCAGCTCAAATCTTTCAGTCCCAGGCAGGTACTGCTTAAACTCATTAATTCCTAAGTATTTGTTACCTAAAGTAATTCATGTTTAAATTCAAGGCAGTTAAAATAACAACATTAAAGAACAACAGGAGTTAAAGTAACATCTGGGGTGGCATGGGTTATTACAGCAGCTACAATGGGAAACAAAAGTCTTTAGAAAAATGTAACATACATGGGGTAACCAGTAAACACATGGTGAGCTGGTTGGTACTGAATGAGTCAAAACAAAGCTGACCTGATTTACTTCGTGCTGAACATCATCAGGTGACAAGCTGGCCAACAAACTGTTGATGTCCAGCTGGAAACTGGGGCCCACTGTGTTCTTGCTCTCATTTGAGTGAATGGACACCACATCTACAACAAGTGTACAACAAGCTAAACAAAAAAGACACTGATGAACATAACCGTGGAATTGGTAAAATGACAGCTAAACATATGCTGCAAGTGTCCACTGCATGACATCTTATGCAGTGAGTGATGAACTGTGGTGTGAACCCATGGTTGGCTCATTGGATGGAGTCAGCACTGTTAGAAAGAACAGTGGTTGTTGTTTTCGGAACATGGAGATCAGATCCAATACGCATTTGCTGTAGACTTCCTCAGCAAGTCTGGCAAAAATACAGAGCTGGACAAGGGAGATATTCTAAAGACCATATTTGAACGACTGCTGACAGAAGACACTGGATTAGATAAAATAACATGTGCAAGAATGTGTGAACGAGGAATTAAGGTGGATCCGGCAAGGAGGGATGGATGAGAGGAAAAGAACGACATGTCTATAATCAGTGTGCTTCGGGAACAGTTAGCATCTATACCTTAAGACATATGCTTCAGGAGACGGAGCATCTATGAGTATGCCCGGTGTGCTATGATGTCGATTCTTAACTCAGTAATTAGTAATCAGTAAAACATCCATCTTTAACATAGTTGCCCCGAGAAGTCGCCAAGCAAACACATTTGGACCAGTCCAATCCACCATTAATGTCATTGTTTTGACCTGCTATAGTTGCTGACTCCCGAGAAGCATGGTTAAAATCACTGATATCGTTTGTGCCTGTGCGAATGTTTAGAAATACAGAAACTGATTACATTCACTAAGGAATAATATGGGAGCTGGGGAATGGACTAGCTCTTGTGAACAGACAGCTTTTTAAACAGAAATGATGACGTCATTATTTCCCATTGCCAGTAGTTACCTGTGCTAGGGGGTAAATTATGAGTCCTGTATAGAATAAAAAGTTTATAAATTTATGTTCAAGAGAGGTAAGCCAGCTAATTTTCTGATGCAATCATGTTTACTGATTACTGTTCTTCCTGTAAAAGAAAATGTATATATTTATGGTCAAGAGAGGTAAGTCAGCTAATTCTCTGCTGCATTCGGATTTACTGATTATTGTTTTTATTCTATTTGAAAACTGATAATGGTTTGGTCTATAAATGGAATTGTTATAATTGTTTTCATGATCTGTGTAAAATAATTGTATGTTTCTGTTTAAAGGATTTTTTCCCTAGGAATTCCAGAAAAAGGGTCACGGGCTTTGACTTTTTTTTCTACAGCTGTATAACAAGAATCACCTGTAGGTACTGGAGTTCTTGTTCTGATTTTGCTGAGGTCCGGAGAATTGTCTCCATCAATGGAAAAATCTGGAAACTCTACAATGTGGTCATTCTCAAACATGCCCTCATAGATACGGCCATTCTTGAAGGTGAACTTGCCCTTGAATCAAAGAAAAATAGAACTCAACAAAATTATTTAGCTACACCTATATGATTACAACTTTATAAGGCTTAGATTTGACTGATGAGTGCTTTTTATGTGGGTGTGAAAGGCAATGAGAGAGCAGACACCCTAGCTGGGAGTGGGACTATCAGGAATGGGCCATCTATGGACAGGAGCGACATTAGCAATGCCGTACGAGAGACTAAATACTATAAGGCTTTCAGTTTTGTAGAAAATGATTTTTCACTGAATAGACTGCATTTCCTGGGTGTACCAATTGGAGACGTGAAACAGGAAAACCATGTGGAAGCCACCCATTGTTACATCAAACAGAACAGAATAGGAGTTGTTAGCTTAAAAACACTTGGAGACACACACAGGAGGGGATCCGAGCTCTTATGGTCATGTCCAATGTGCGATGAAGATGATCTTTAAATAAACAGTGATGAATGCTTTCTGCATGGACAGCTGCATGTGAAACCCTGGATCCCTAAACACTGTTCACCGTGACCTCCACGTGTGGGTTTTGAGGCCACATTGTGGGAAAAACAAGAATAGACCCACTGCCTCCTCAACAAGCATGTCAAAGGAGTTAACTAATTCTGAACTTTCTTCAAAGTCAGAATGCGTCTGCCCAAGTAGAAAAGAACAACCAACTGCACATAAATAAACTAGTAGAACAGATGTACACGCAAAACTAGGGCATGGCACAAAGCCAGAAGTCCAAATGGACGAACAACCAGAACTTTCCTCTGAAGCTTACAGCCAGTGAACAAAAAAGAATGAGTTCACCATAGTCGCTGATCAACTAGAGACTAATATTACTGTATACAGCCCAGTATTCAAAAAAATGTGTAATAACATGGCGAATAAAAATAATTATAATGAACAAGGAATGAGTCTGAATCTACCCGGCTGATACCAGGTAATTATGTGCTAGTATTTCTTAATAACAGCGTTATGCTGACCACATTACCCACAGAGTGCTGATGGTCTGTAAAAATATGGGACATCTGCCCATATGCCCTATGCGCCAAAAGGCGTGAAAAGGGATCTTTACTTTACTTTACTTTACTTATTTCCTAATAAACCAAATGTCCTTATTAGCATATCCTTTAATGGACTTTGCAAACCAACCCCACCAGCTAATTGTACTTGCGCAGTTTTCCTAAGAAATTTCATGTGTAGTAGTTTGTGCATTATTTACAAGAGCAATCTAGTGTCAACTTATGTGAAAAATACCAGCATATCATTACCAGGCATCACCCAGGATAGATTCAAACTCATTCTCAATTCATTATAATTGATTTTATTCATCATTCAGTATTTGGCGACATGCAATATGTTTTTTTCTCTTGCTGACCATCGGCGATGATGAACAATGTTAAGGGATCCACTGCCCTTGACAATCTATTTTTAAAAAAAATTAAGTCTAGCATAATATGGAAGCTGCGATAGCATAGCTGTTAGATGCCTGTCAGCTGGTCCAAAGGTCTTGGGTTCAAATCTGCATGGCGTAGGATGTTTTAATTTGTTTTTAATGACCTATGCTCCAAGGTCGTCCCAGCCTAAAATAGGTACCAGGTCAAGTCCTGGAAAGTAAAGGTGGCTGGCATGATGCTGACCTCATGACCCATGGAGTGCCAATTGGGCACCCACAGAAAAGGGGGAAGAACAATTGCAATAATTAAGATGAGTCAAAGCAATGTTTTCCTGTTGTAAATTTGAACAAAGAAGACAGAAACAATAGATTGTTTCGGAAAATCAAAGCAATGTTTCCCCGTTGTAAAATGTTTGACTGTTGTTGAAATTGTACTTCAGTTATAAAGGATTCACTTATTTGCTTCGTTTATGTAATTGTTACTGTAGTATGCACCTGACAAGATACAGCGAAATATGCCAGGCAATAAATTGTGCAATCTATTGTTTGTGTCTTTTATGTTCAAATTAAAATGAGATTTCTAAAAGAGCACTCAACATATTATGCTGAGAGAAGATCAGAAACGTTAAATCAAGGATAAAGTAGAAGTAGCGGTAAA